CGCAACCAGTCCCGGTGCACGTCAAGCACCAAAACTGCACCAAACCCCGGCATGCGTTGAAGCAGGAAGAGAAAAATGGAATCTTAATTGAGAAAGTCGGGGCGGAAAGAGCGGGAAAGCTGGGCAGAAAGAATATACTTTGGAAAAGCTTTCTTCGAAGGGGGTGTTCTGCTGCGGTTCTGCTGGGTCTTGAGGTGCTCTGCGACAAAGAATGTTCCCCATCACACATGGCAATCCTGGACTTGGACATTCACGGCCCATGAATGGCATCCCCCCTTTCAAAAGCGCTGCTTCGATGCATTTGACCCCGGCGGACACCCACTCAACCTACTTTCATTCGCCTCACTTCCGGCGAAGACGCAGGTACATGCAGCGATCCCGACCAACCATAACCACACCAGAGCGCAGCAGACCGCCCTTGCCCGGTCACAGCTCCCTTTGTCACAGTGGGGGACTGCACGGTTCCCGGCTCCTCAAGCGCATTCGACTGTTCAATTTTCGCTGCTTTGCGAGAGCTTGAGAGGCGGGGAGAGAATTCAAAGCCCGCTCTGCTTCCAAGGCTTGGTTGGTGCGACATGCCATGACAGCCATGCCGGACGCCAGCCGGACGCGTGAGAGGTGTGAGTCGTGGCGCTTGCCTCGCTTGCGGCAGAGAAAAAAGCTTCTTGGTTACACCAATTGCAAGCCGCGTGTTTGCTGTGAGATCTGGCATGAGATCTCGCATTTGGATCTCCGCTCCATTGGCGCCGCGCAGAGCGCCGCGCAAGCTGTCGTGCGAGGAATTAGTCATGGCACATTTGAATGCTGGAGAAGCAAGTGTGAAGTAACTAAGTTGTAAGTTGTGAACAAGTGAGGGGTGGAGGTGACTCATAACGCACTTCCCAAGAAGGGAGGGAGAGGACGTTCTTTCCAGCGTTCTTTGAATGGAACGGCCTCGAGAATATAATTATTGAATAGGAAATGACCATTCGTCATCGGATCATTCATCAAGTCTTATTTTACAGCGAAGGAGAACTTGAAGACCACAACAAAGATTCTCTCCACCAAATACTTCAGCGCAACAGCACATCGATATCGGCACATCCTCAAGCATACAAAACCAAAGCAAAAAAGGGCGTGAAAGTCTAGTGGGTTTTCCAAAAAGTATGTGCTTAAAAAAAAGAAAACACGCTCCGAAATATGAAAACAAACAGATCACCACTCAGGATGAATAGAAAAACAAGTCACCAAAAAAGAATATCATATGTCACAGATTAAAAACCAAATATTCACCAACGTCGAGACTTAAAGCCAAAGGAAACCGCGGGTATCAGTGCCCTTGAAATTATCCGCAATTGGAAAAAGAAGAAAAAGAAAAACAAAAAAACCAAACCCAAAAAAGCGGAGGGCGTACAATCGTCCTTTCTCGGCATCTCGTTTCATCTCACATCCATAAATGTCCGTCAAAAGTGACTTCAGTACGCCTCGTTACTCCTCGCTCCACACACTCCCTCCAGCTTACTCAACATCACATCAAACACGTCCGAAGCTGTTAGCTGCGACCGATCATACGCCGTCGAAACCTCCTCCGTGATGATCGAAGCCATCACGTCCTGCAACTTTTCTGACGCCTCCACAAATACGGGCCGGTTCAGCCCTACAATCTCAACGGTCTGGCCCTGCTTGCGGATGTACGGGTTGTTTGGGTGGATGGGTGGATGGGAGTCGGAGTTTGTGGATGTCGGTGTAGAAGAGCGGCTCGGGTATGTGTCGTTCATGCTCGCGCTGCTACTTTGGCGGCGACTGCTGCGGCGGGATTTTGATTTGCCGGCTGAGGAGGAGCCGCGTTTCTGGCGACGGCGGGAGGATGAGGTTGGACTTTGGAGAGCTGTTTTCTTCCACGGACTCACGGTTGGATCGTCATCCTTTAAAAGAGCAATACAACAAGGATATTAGTGAATTTCCTGCGCAAACCTTCGACCGACAAGGGGAGAGTTGGTGTGGAAAATGTAGAAGAGTGCAAATGCAAGACCTACCACAATGACGCTTTCATTATCTTCCCCATCGCTAAGATCGATTGCTAACGAGTCTGTGGGACTGAGCACTGCGTCTCCATACCCTGAATCCGTTCCCCTCCTTCCGATATACTCCCGATCATATGTATGCCTCGAAGCCGTATCCACCGGCAAGTCCTCCAAGAAGTCCCCCTCAAAGTCAATCATGTCGTCTTCTGTGTTCCTGTCCCGATCCTCCTCTGCGATGTCGCTCCCAGGACCGTAACCATACCGTAATCCACTTGGGGTTGTCGGACTTTTTATAGAGGATGAGGAGGAAGGGGGACCAGACTGCTGGAGGATCATTTGGTGGAATTGGTCTGCTTGTGCTACTCTTTGTGCCTCTTCGTAATCGAAGGAGTAGATACTGGATATCGAGAGGCGACGTTGAAGAGGACGCTCGGGTTTGGGTCGTGGTTTCCATCCCTGTGTCAAGGTCCGCAGCGAAAAAGATTGTTATTATGGTCCTCGGGGAGCTGATGCGGGCAAAGGTGTACCAGAAGTATTACAAAAGCCAAAACCCTGTGTCTGCAAAAAACCCACCTCACTCGACTCCGTCTCCTGTATTTGCAATTCCTGCAGCCGGTCCCTCAAATCCGCTACTGCGGCAGCCTCTTCAGCCGCAGCCTTACTGCTCCCGCCTGTCGCCCTCTTCTTCGATTCGCTACTCTTTTCCGATTTATTGTGCTGCATTATTGTCGTCAGTCGCCGCAGCCCGTGCGGTTTCTCACCATGATGCTTTTTCTCTTCCGCCGGTTTCTCAGCGACTTGCTTCTCACCACTTCCACTCCCGGAAGCGGATGAATATGAGCCCGATTTGGGCTTCGTGAAGAATGCGGATACCGCCCGTTTCGATTTTTTGCTGCTCTTCCCGCCAGCTGGCGGAGAGGTTGACATGAGCGTGCTAGTGGCTGCCGCAAACTCGGCAAGGTATTCTTTTTGTTGCTGTGCCTCATCGTCGCTTCCGTCTTTCGGCCCCACAGTGGATGTGGAAACCACACTTCCGCTTCCCCGTCTCCTCCGGCTTCCACTCATGATCCCACCCGCGCTGGACGATTTCGTCATGGTGACTACCTCCAACTGCCCCGGTTCCATCAAACTCTGATGCTTTGTGCCCTTACGTTTACTCCTCTTGCCGTGTTTCGTTGTCGGGGGTGAAGACGAAAAGAACGGTAGAACGGGAATGAGCTCGTCTTCTTCATACCTCCCCGGCCCCCAAGAATCCCGCTTACGCTCTGGTGGGTGTTCCTCCATCGAACTGCGACCGAAAAATCCGGAATGAGCTTTCGGAGATGTCGAAGAAGACGACGAGTGGGAATGCGTTCCTCCAGAGAGAAGACTCGCCAAAGACGACTTGATAGTGCCCGACAAAACTTTATCCACACTATTCCGTTTACCAGAGTCCGCACTCTTCCTCCGTCCACCTCCGCTCCCACTTACAACACTGCTCGCACCAACAACACTGCCTCCTCCTCCTCCTCCTCCTCCTCCTGCGCCACCATCATCGTGTCGTGCATTACTACTCGTCGTGCTGAAAATTCCACTATCTCGATCCGAGTGCGAGTGGTCGCTCATAAAACTGACTATAGACGAGCGTTTGGTGGTGTTGTGGGTGGTGTTGAGGTAAGGTTCTGGGCTAGATGAGCGTGTTTTCCCCCAGCCCATCATTTGGAAGGCGCGCTCGAAACCACTGCCGCTTCGGTGGGTGTCCGTGACCGGAACTTCGAGGATGGGTGTGGGTGGCATGATGTACTGGTCCTTTTCTTTCTTCCGTGTTTGGGAATGTGAACTGCTCGGTGGTGGTATCTTCACACACGGACCGACTCCAGACTGGGTCTCTGTGGTCCGGTTTAAACCGCTATTGAACTTGGATGTCTCCGACCGGGGAGCAGACGACGAGAATGAATCCTCGCCACGCAGAGGGGGTCGTTACGGGGGTGGGTGTGTTCGCGCCTGATGGGAGATTGATAGCGCGGCGCCGCGCGGTGGGAGATGCTCCCCAATCTTATGGGAGATGTTACTTGTCACCTCTTCGTGTGCGGTGGAGTGTGACTGCGTGATTCTTTGATGTGTGTGATGTGTGATGTGTGTGGTTTTTTGACTTTTGTGTTCTCTCGGTGGCTTGGGTATGTCGCGGCTTTCACCCCTTATTTTCCCTCAACGGAATTTTCTTTTTCGCCATTATTCTACCACAATTTTTTCTTTTGTTTTTCTTTACTTTATGTTTTTCTTTACTTCATTTCAGGACTCAAACGAAACATTAATTTAATGATATTTTCCTCCAATTCAACTGGCGATTCAACGGACATCTTTAAATCTTTCCAAATCTCCACAGAGATGTCTGCCCATTTCGGGCTATCCCAATGCCCCCCATCAATTCCTAATCCGTTTCCCGACGCTCACCGCTCCTGCTAATCTGTGTTGAAACCTTAAAACTGTTCTCCTCCCTCTTCTTCATCCAACTGTTTGGCCCAAAATGTCCGTCGCGGATCCAGATCTACATGGTCCGGGAATCTAACTTTCAATCTTTTCTGGGTTCATCCAAGTGGGTCAACTTCTAACGGACACCATCTTTCGAAAGCTCACTCCTCCTCCTCCTCCTCCTCGAACTCCCCTTCCTCATTTGCGCCTCATTCTGTGCAATCTATCGTGGAGGGCGGAAACATGAGGTGCCTTGGTCCACTGTAGGCTGAAACCATGCCAGGGCCCGATCGTCCATCTTTACCCCCATCTGGTCGTCCGGTTTCCAATGATGTGTATGCCGAAGGATGATCTAAAGGGAATTGAGAGACTGAGGTTGGTGTGCCCAGATTCACCGCAGAAAACATTGAAATATGAATTCGGGGTGAAATGGAACACATCATGGAACACAACACGTACAGAATTCCACGAAAAACCACGTCAGATATAAATAGATACGAACATATACAAAAAAGGCAACAAAGGAAAAGTAAATGCGAAGTGAAATGGAGAACCCGAGCATCGATCTCGGTGCCTCTCGCATGCTAAGCGAGCGCTCTACCATTTGAGCTAGTTCCCCTGAAATCACGTGATACCTTAGATTATATTAGCCAAAAGGGCGTCAAGGAAATCTCGACTCACGGTGGAGTTTGCAAATGAAAGAAATGCTCATCCGTTGATGATCACTCTAATTCCACAAACCAATTTCGCTGTTGTTTCTTTCCCTTTACCTCCCCCTCGAACCAATCCTCAAGTTCCTTGCGCAGCTGGCTTTCACAGTACACATCGGCACATGCACACATGAGTCGCTTGAAAGATATGTGTCGAGAAAAATGGGATGATGCATTCACCTGTAGTGACTCTGTTCTACTACCGTTACGATAATGTTTAACTTAACATTTGGTGGGGCAAAAAAAGGACATGAGATAGCCACGATGGAAGGACAATGAAAGTCTGAAGTATCGAGCTCAGTTCTTTCTCTTCCTCTGCCACACATTATTTTCTTTCTAATTTCATTTCATTCTCCTAATATCCGGGAATATAGCTGAATGACTTCGAATTCACTTCGTAATGATACATGGCATAAAATCATTATATTATTATATTGGTTAAAGAGTTCCCATCTGCGCGTGTGTGCGGAACACAATGTGAGAGTGGTGTTTTCTTCTTAGGACCCGAAGCTCCATCAGTTTCCATCTCGCACCATCCCCGCCTCCATATTCTTCAGCCCTCTTAGCTTGTTCATACGATTTTTACAGCTCTAGCTTGCCTCGCCACCTTCCTCAGTCCAGCCAATATCTCCCCACCACTTTTCCTCGGTTCCGCCGGCCACATCATATGTCCCTTTGGAGTCTTTACTCCCGCTGCTGGTGCTAGTCCTGCGAAGTAGAGGAAACGCGAGTAAAAATGGCGAAGAAATTGCCAGAGGAAAGGACTGCGAGGACGGTGCAGATTACCATCACCTCGAAGGAAGAAAATAATTGCTCATCAGAGCGCTAAGAGGACTGAAAACGGCAGACGGCGATGTGGAGAGAAGGAAAATGGGGTGAAGAATTTCAAAGGAAAAGCACGTCCGGCCAAGGTCAAAAGTTTGAAACAGCGAAGCGCCCGAACGCGGCCGTGGAAAATGAAAATGAGGAAGATCCGGGTGGAGGAGAGGAGTATGAGGAAAGTGCTGATTTCTATGCCGTCGCAGACTCAAAGGACCCGTCAAAGCCAAAGGAAGAAAACCAATGCTCATATATGAAAGCCGCGACGAACGTGACTAAGAATGCAGGAGGCGATGCGGAAAAGAACGAAAATGAACATAGTGTGGAAAAAAAGCAGTGTATTACAGCGCGAATCCATCAAGTTAGAATCAAGCATGAATGTGCCCAAGAGTGGAAGAATGGGGTCGAGGAAGCCGCTGTGAAGAGGGCGCGAGGACAATACTGACTGCAAGCAATGAAGAAAACCAATACTTGAATGAGAGAAAATGGCGATGGCAGACTGAGAGTCTGACGTGGAAAAGAATGAAAATGGTGTGCGGAAAAGGAGGCTCATACCAACTTGCTAATTGGAACCAAAAATTCCGAAAAGCTTGAATCACTGCAGTTTGCAGGGTAAGCAATTCTTGGAGGAGGAGCGGAGGGTGACCACGGTGATGATAGTGCAACAAGGTCTTCCAAAGTTAGCAGCTTGCAGTACTGGAGTACAGCATCTCCGTCCAAAGCCGCCGCAGGAGGAAAGTCCCAGAATGAGGAAGGAATGCGAGGGAAAGTATATCAATAAAAGAAAGTCACAAAATCATACATTTTCCACAAATGCTACAGGTGGTTGATTTCGATGTGTTCGGACTCGGACTGAAACTCCAAATTAAATTTTATTGGAAAAAAAGGTATTTGAAACCAAGGAGGCACAATATCGCTCATTCAAACGCTTGTAATTCGAACTGGGCACCACGCATGCACACATAACACACCACACACAGTTGGGGAGAGAGCAATGGCAATGAAACTAGTCTTATGTCTTTTGGAAGCCTCGTGATTTAGAATATGGAATTAAAGAAAGTACAAAGATTTGCGGATTCAGAGAAACAAAAAATACAATGTCAAAGCGGGACATTCAATTCAAAAACCAGACAATGCAGGATCTGACACCGAAACAGAAGATCATATTGGATCTCAGGTCTGGACGAGGCTTCATTGCTTCCACACCATTTCCGCGAATGGCTTTCTCTGGTTGAGAAAAAAGCGGATGAAAGGAAGGAACATGCCCAAGATGTTATCTAATGCTTGTTGATGGGTTTGATCCCAGTAAGGCTCGAATTCGAGACCAGTGATCATCTTGATTCATTCGGAGGTAAACGCTTCCCCCATATGAACACAGAAATATAATCATCGAGTGAAAACCGTCCCTTATCTCGATCAACAGGCCGAAATCCATTTCCATGGCCGTTTTCAATTTTCGATGCCACAGCCATCATCATCCATCAACCCCCAATATCCCATTCTTTCCCTACGTACTCTACCATTAGACGTTTTCTTCTACTGCTTTAAGTTTGTTTGCAGCAACCTGAGGAAGATTGCAGTAATGATTACACTTAACTTGCCGCTATTGGCGATAATAATCAGGGTCGGAAAGAAGTTTTTTAGATGGGCTTTCCTAAATCCCGCCCTGGGTTTTGAACCATCCTGGATTGGGGTCGGTTATTGATTTTAGAGACTGCACATTTGCCGACGTCAGGAAGGCATAAAATTTCTCCAGTTTCAGCAGCTCAACAACCAATCTCAATGCGGAATAGGTCAAATGTTCTTTCGTCTCAGTCCTGAAATGATCAAATGTTTTAGAGGCGCCTCCAAAGGGCCTCTCCAAGAAATCAGGAAAAAAAGAAACAACACTAGATTGTCTTCACCAACACCCAAACAGCAGCAAGTCGATCTGGTGGGTTTGTTTGAGATATAAGTCCCGCCGCCCGGATTGGTGTGACATTCTCTGTTGGATTTGTCACCTATATATCATGACATCATAACATTGACTCCAAAGAGACTGAATCCGACTGATGGACGTGAGAGCGGGTTTCCACACGAAAATCCATTCCCCTTCAAATTGCTGTTCTCATTTTTGAAGACGGCGTGATTGATTATGACAAACAATTCATATTTTCTGCAAATCAATAGCAATTCATAATACCCTTTCACTTTTTGTGATGTCACAAGAAGAGAAAAAGTTAGAGAGGTGAAAACGAAGAAAAGTAAGCCGAATTGTCTTTTGTTGAATCCCAACATGCTGGAGTGTATACGAGTCAGTGGATGACAGAGTTCGAACCAGCAATGGGGTGTGTTATTTGGATATGGGAAGACGTACGCGACATTAGTATGTAGATAAACACATTCTGACAACTTGTAACCTGTGGTCAAAGTCCCCTGCTTCCTGCTATTCTATTCGGTTATATTATGCAAATAGCCGCGCGCTAGATTCTATTTCATCTGAGATTGTAATCCATCTTTGAGTCACCATTAATTGACTCCTTTCCGCACATGCTTGACTATTTTTCTGGAGTTCTGGAGCGAAAAGCGCACCCATCCAAAACTGGAAGAAGGTAATCAAGCATGTTGCGGAGAGTATTTCGATCCATTTGCCATGTTTTATCTGCAGTACGAGGTATCTCCACAATGCTATAGCCCGCCCATGCCTGCACTCCATGCCATCTTCGTAGTTTAGTTGCTCCCCCCTGTTGCCCGTTGTCTAGGAGTTCTAGGAGTTCCGGGTCGGTTTACGAGTGGGACTCACATTCCAAAACTCGAAGAAAACAATCGACTGCATGCGGAAAGTAGGATATTGGATGTGGAAGAATGTCCCACTCCCCACAAAGCTCCAACCCGCACATCTTTTGAACTCCAGGCTATGCATAGAGACAGACACCGATCTTCTCAAACCTGAAGGACTTGTTACCACTCTTTCCATGAATATTGGCTCGAGGGCGTGGACATGAACCGGGAGAGGCGAAGGACTGGTGGTTTTGGACGATGAGGCAACGATGATGGTTGTTCGTTTTGGAATATCTATGGTTACACGGCAGGGTTGTGGAAACGCTCGTCCCTTCCTTGCCACCGTGCCAAGTGAGTAATTGATGGGAGATGGTGGTTTTGTCGTGTTCGGCCCGATCCAGGTCGAATTCCCAACATTCATTTCAGAATCCTCAGCGGGCGAAACTTCTCCAACGCAACAGTGTCTGCAATTCCACTCCCTCTCATTATCTCAGTTTCGGTGACAATGACAAGCATTGCCTTCGGACTGGTGACATCTTGAAATACGGAGATCCGTTATGTATGTGCTCGTTATCACTTTTGAGGTTTTCACGAATTTAGATTTGGTTTGGTTCGAGATCTCTTTTGAGCTAGATTATCTGTTGGTTCGGGTTTCTGTGAGGGAGACGAGACAGTTGAGGGCAAAGGTGTTCCATACTGTCAGGAGCGCGCTGGGAGTCGGCGGAGAAGGGCCAGAGGAGAAAGAAGATGGGAGAAAGAAAAAGAACAGAAGTGGGAAGCCTGTACGGAGAAAGGCAGAAATCGGCGACTCCTTTGAGCGGATTTCGAGTGTGGACAGCGGACTTTGGTCTCATCGAACAGCCAACTCTTCATGCTGAATTCAGGACGAAGTGATTTTACGTTCTGTGATTTTACGTTCTATCTACCCAGAGCGATTCCTGTGATTGTATCAGCGTGAAGGGGAGCCGTCTCTGGCGAACACGGATTGATATGGGATGTCAATGTTTTTGGTTTTCGATGCCTTTCGTCAGACTCAGCAGCCAGCATCAAACCTTCTTGAAATCCTAATATGAAGTACCCAATAAGCGTTAGTTGGAGAGAATGGAGGTTGAGCAGTTCGCAAGCAAGATTGAAGTGCGGAGCAGGGAAGGCGCTCAGGATGGGTGAGACGCTGGCATTTCAGTGCATGGTATTCTATTCTGCATGCTATCCATGCATGCCATTCTGCATGCCATGCATGCTCACCGAAAGATTCTCCCTTTTTGGGAGGGAGAAGAAGAAAAAAAGAAAGAAGGAAAAAATTGAGCCCTGGAAAACGAATGCCGAACCG